CTTATCCTCATTTGACTGCTCCGCACGCACACAAACATGTAACAAGAAGCTGAAGTAATTGTTACTCTGACAGGTTCTTCCTCAACTTAGAAGTTCTTTAATGGCAACAAGCCGTGGGCCTGCCTGTGACCCCCATCTTACCCTGTTTGCTTTCTGATTTTCAGTGGCCTCCTCCCATTCCCACAACTCCTGTGCAGTTAGTCTGGGCTCTCCAGGGGGGTCTTCTATGCGGGTGGGTATCCCAGGGCATGTAGAACGAGCCCTGGTGAAAGAGAGTTTTCCTTTTCATGTTGGAAGAAATTGTTCAGTTGGGAAATAATGAAGTTATAAACATCAGAATGGCAGGCTGGCGCCTAAACATCTATCCCGTAAGCATTTTAGCAACATGGCCGAGGTGTAAGGCTGTGCATGTTGAATAAACACAGCTGCATTTCTTTCGGTGATTACATATCCAGATAACTGCAGAGCATGTTTATAAATGCACATAGATTTTCCTCCCCTCTTGGGACACAGGGGCGGGGGGAGGGAGGGGGGGGGAATGTGTGTGTGATAGGAGTCACCACGTAGAGAGTATGATTTTCAGGAGGGTTTAACTCCATGAAGGCCTTATGTCGACCAGTTCTCCACTTTCTGTCGGATGCCCAAAATTCCACCACTAGACCTTTATCCAGGGGTTAAAGCTTTCATCCCTGTTAAAATTTAGTTACTTAACTTTAGATTGTTTTAGACATTTGCACCATGACGTGTGACATGCATAAGAATATCAGATTGTGAAAGCTGAAAAAGCCATCGGTTATGAAGTCACTGGCACTCGGTTTGAGTGTGTTGAGGAGGGAGGAGTGAAGCTGCAGCTGAGAAAGAAGAAAAGGCCAAGAAGGGAGTAGACTGGGAACATGAAGGGAATCTACATTTTCAAGAAATTTTGCCTAGGATTGTTTTCCTATTTCTGAAAACATTCCAATAAGAAAGTGATTCAGTCATATCAGACAAGGGTATATTTATGGGTGTGGCTTTTAGACAGATGAATTGATCTATACTTTCAGAGTTATAGCTCTAGAGACCAAGTGGAAAGCTAGAAAGAAAACATAGACTTTGGCAGAAAGGATGCCCCAGCCATATAAAGAGGGGAGAGAAAGAGACTTGTGGGAACAGTGGGAGGATTGGAGGTGAGTGCTTCCTGGGGTCTGGCCACGCATCTAATCCCCTTGGTGGGAGACTTCAGGCGCCAATGCAAAAAGAGCCTTCAAGAGGATGACAGGGGATCAGGACAAAACTCTAGAACAAAATATCTAGAACTAGGCTGTTTAGAGGGGGAAATAATCAGAGAACTGGGGAGGAAATGATGGTGATAACATGCTTTTTTAAATCCAGTCAATGGAAGGATTCCCTCCCCACCTCCCTATTTGCGTACGATACCCAGACTCAGATCTGCCTGCAGCCTCGATAACTCACTACTTCATAAAATCATCATTTCTAAATTAGGTCTAATTTCAGACACTCAGTCCCATTGTTGGACACTATACTCTTTGGGGTTAGGAAATTGAGGTCTCTGTGTCCATACAAGTGTCCTTTGCCATATGGTGTGTAAAGCCCTTTCTATGCAAATTAAACAGGTAGGACCTCTCCTTGTCCCTTGTCCCTTCCCGTGACCTGCTTGGTACCCTTAGTTTCTTCTCTTGTTTAATAGCTTCATGATCCATCTTCTCTCTTGAGGCAGAAACCTGAGAAAATTCTGTTATCTATTGCTGCATAACAAATTACCTCAAAACTAAACAGCTTAAAAGAACAAAAGTTAAACACAGTTTCTGAGAGTCAGAAATCCAGGAGCAGCTTAACTGGGTTATTCTGGCCCAGGATCTCTTACAGCGTAGCAGTTAGCTGTCTGCCGGGGCCACAGACATCTCAAGGCTTGGCTGGAGCTGGAAGATCCTCTTCCAAACTCACGTGCAAGGTTGTTGACAGGCCTCAGATCCTCACTGACTGTGGGCCAGAGGCCTTCGTTCCTACCACATGGGCTTCTCCATAGACTGCCCGAGTGTCCTCATGACATGGCACCCCCTGCCCTGTCCTGAGGAAGTGATGAGACACAGAGGAAAACCCCTGAAACAAAAGTCACAGATTTTTAAATAATCTGATCTCACAAGTGACATCACTTCTGCCATAGCCATCAGTCACACAGGCCAACCTGATACAATGTGGGAGGGGACTACACAGGGTTGTGAATACCAGGGACAGGGGTCATTGGGGTCCATCTTGGAAGTTGGTTACCTCAGAGAGGCCTTCTGTTCCTTTCTCCTTCAGCAAATCACTATGTCTTTCTGATTCCTCCTCTGCAGTGTTTCTCACATATGACCTCATCTCAAATCTGATTGTTTCTTCTGAAAAGAGGTATGGAGGCTGATGGAGGAAGCCTTGGGGACCACATACCTAAGGGCACAGGTGGAATGCATAATAATATACCAGCATGACCTCCAACACAAGCTTATTGGGAGAAAGAGAGCAAACATCTGGGCAAGCCAGTCTTTTGGGGAGGATTTGCTCCCTGTGCAGGGAAGGGAAGACCTGTAGCACCAGAGTCACCCGAGGGAAATGAGGTGTTGCGTGCAAAAGCAAGAGAGCACAGATACTTTCAGACTTGGCCTAAGTTCCCTAGGACTTAGGGCCATGATATGGGGTCAGCTTCCCCTGTGCGTGAGGCAGAGAAAGTCTTAGGCGATCTCTAGGCAAGGGCCTCCCACTTCCCTGTGAACGTCACAAATAGGTTTATCTCCACAAGTCTGCTTAGATTGGAAGTGGATTCCTAAAGCTCATGAGCTGAGCAAAATTGTGGGGTCCATTCTGCTTCAGTGAGAAAGAAAGCCTTGATTCTCAATGGCTGCCATTGTCAGAGGAAGAGGAGTTATACCTGCCATTTTGGCCAGTGGCAATATACTCCGTTTCCACTGACCATACGTTTCGTCTTGGGATCCTTCCCTAAGATGGGCCTTTTGGGAAAAAACAGGTGGAATTTTCAGAACTTGAGCTGCTAAAGCATTCCCCCACCCCCACCCCAGGCACACAACCAGCAGCCCCGCCTAGGTGGAGGTGGCTTTAGGCGACTTCGTCATTAGGTTCTCAGACAACCTGAAGTTGGGCCATTAACTAAGGCTAAGTCAATTAACCAAGGATCCAAGGGGACCAGGGTGGGAGCTTAGCACTCACTGAAACCGATGGGGGATTCTGGGCCTTCCATGAAAATTTGCCTGTGTTCTTGTATCTGTGTTTCTGGGACATAATCATAGGTTTATGGACCAGAACAGACAATAGAAGTCACATACCTGCCCCCCATCCCCATTTTGCATATGACTCAGAGAGGTCAAGGGACTCTTCCGTAGCCATTTAATGAGTTGGTAACCCAGCCAGGACTAAAGTCTTCTGAATTTCTAATCTTCTTTCCCTGCCTCATGTCAATTCTATGAGTTATCACAGCATATACACTTCTAGGAGGTAGACTGCCTGTTTGCTCTAAGGTCCATTTTCTGCTCTTATTATAATCTTCTCTGAATGACAAGGAACTCATTTCTCAGGCTGCCTCGTCTTCTGGCTTCCTGTCAGGTTTGGCCAATGCGGGGCATTGATGGAACATTTGAGAGTTGGCGAGAAACAAGGTATTTCCTCCTCTCTTTCTGCTGCTTTTGGCATCTCCATCAATGACTGAGTCTCCCTGGTCCCAGCACCCATTGGACATTCCCCACTGTGACTCTGGCTTCTGTCAAATGACCCTGTAACACCCAGTAACAGTAGCTCCTCCAACCTGTGGAGTCACAGCTCCTCACCACTGTGGCTAGTCTCTTAGTTGCCTCGCTCTCCCCTGTTTGGCTTCTTAGCACTTCTATTACTTGTATGACCAATTCCCTATATTAAATTACCTCTGTTTATTAAGTCCTAGACTGGTTTCTTTTTTCCTTCCTGGACCCTGACTGATGGAGTGGGGCCATCATTCTGTGTGTTCTTGCTTATTGTAAGAACGCAATAAATGTTCAGTCATAACAATGTTAACTAAAAAGGAAAACCAGTTTATGCGAGAGAGGTAGTGCTCTGCTCTATTATTTACTCTATAAATCAAGCTGATTAAAACTATATCATATTTGCCATAACTCCTAAAAAGCAAAAAGTAGAAACATTTTCCTAAGACATCTTCCTGAGGGTCAGTCTGTACCTTCTCCTCTGTGGTGTTAAAAGAATAGATTTCTTTGATCTCATAGATTTTTTTTCCATTTCTGTCTGTGACTTAATCATGGAAGGGACTGTTCTTGGTATGTGTGGGTTTGTGTTTTTTAACTGTAGCAGAATGAGCCCTAATGTCATGCTGTTGGTTTCCTACACTTGCTTTGGTAACAACTCTTCACTTGGCCTTCCCGTCACAAGCCTGGTTGTTGTGACCTACAGTCCTGTTGATATGCCAACCCCTGTTCTTGGCCTCCACACAAGGATTCCCACAAGGGTTCCATTTGAGATGGTGGTTTCCAAGATTGGGGGTATCTGTCCGCCAGCACTGGATTTGAGACCATCGGCTTGTTTGTTCTAAGTATTAATATCTCAGTGATCGCTAAACATATTTTCTTTTCCAGAATATTTTCCAAAATTTTTAAAGAATGTCTCTAAAACTTGTTTCTTTCGAAGGCCTAAGGGCCTAAAGGGAGGGGCAAGGTTAATGTAAACTTTAACTTGGCAGACTAGTATTTAAAACTTTATCAAAAAAATATTTTTCCCCTTAAAAAACAAACAAACAGAAAACTCTCTTTACATGTTTAAGTAATTCATTTGGGAGAAATTACCGCTCAGCTATTCACACAGCCCTTGGCAGTTTCAGTTCAAGATGCTCTGAAACCAGTCAACTACAAAGTCTCAGATATTTTCTCTTTGAAAGCTCAACTTAACCTTCGCTACCATGGTGGTGAGAAAAGTGACAACTCATTTTAAAGATTCTCCCCCTTTGTTTCTTTGTCTTTCTTCTGCAGGCCATGTGTTTATACTATGGGATCGCCCATAAACAACAGGGCCCTTTTTCCATGCCAGGAGCCACCCGTTGCCATGTCAACATGGCAGGCTACAGTTCGAGCAGCTGCATCTTTTGTTGTTTTAATGAGTGGGGAAAATTCTGCCAAGCCAACACAGCTTCGGGAAGGTACTGTACATGTGTTCTGTGCTTCTTTATGTATTGCACACATGCTGGACCCAGCAACCCAATACACAGTGTTTTTCTCCACTTTAAAAGAGCTCCTTTATTAGCTGGGTTGGACTGAACATACTATAAAACATCCTGTCAGAGAAAACAGCCCGGGATGGGGAGAGGCACTTGGGAGCCTAGGCATGGCATGTGGGGCTCTTCATGCCAGAGTTATCAATTCCTAGTTTATTAAGGCAGTTGCTTGCAGCTGATGGTTTGTGGGCTGTAAGTAGGTGCTCTTGGTTGAAGACTTTCTGGGCAGGCGAGTGTGCCATGGAAACACCATTATAGTAGAGTTATCTGTGGTTTGGTCATGAAGCCTGTACAGGGTTATTCATTATTCTGAGCGATAGTGCTCCTGTTGGCTGGCCCACTGGAGTCATCCTAGTATTGCATCTGTTCTGTACACTATTTGGCCATGAAGTTTCGTTTTGTTTTTTAAATTAATTAATTAATTAATTTTATTTTTGGCTGTGTTGGGTCCTCGTTGCTGTGCGCGGGCTTTCTTTTAGTTGCAGTGAGCAGGGACCACTCTTCGTTGCAGCGTGCGGGCTTCTCACTGAGGTGGCTTCTCTTGTTGCAGAGCATGGGCTCTAGGCACAACGGCTTCAGTAGCTGTGGAGCACGGGCTCAGTAGTTGTGGCAAGCAGGCTCTAGAGTGCATGCTTCAGTAGTTGTGGCCCCCTGGCTTAGTCGCTCCGCGGCATGTGGGATCTTCCCGGACCAGGGATCGAACCCGTGTCCCCTGCACTGACAGGCGGATTCTTAACCACTGCATCACCAGGGAAGCCCTGGCCATGAAGTTTTGAACCAAAGGTGTATAAGAAAGACGGAAGGCAAGTGCTAATGCATCATCAAGGTTTTGTCTGCGAATTTCTTGCTTATTGCAATAATTAACACTTTCAGTTGAGATCCTGGGCATGTTGATGCCGGGTAAAGTTTCTGTGATTGTAATATTTCTTTATTTAAAATATGGTGTCTCCTTCCACTACTCATTATAGAGACTTATACAAAAAAGTAAAAGTAATAAAATTAAATAATTTTAAACAAAATGGCTGCTAACATTTTGTTGCATTTCCCTCTGGTTTTTTTTTTTTTTTTTTTTTTTTTTTTTTTTTTTTGCGATACGCAGGCCTCTCACTGTTGTGGCCTCTCCCATCGCGGAGCACAGGCTCGGCTCTCGGCAGGCGGACTCTCAACTACGGCGCCACCAGGGAAGCCCTCCCTCTGGTATTTAAAATCTCTCTATAGGGACTTGCCTGGTGGCGCAGTGGTTAAGAATCCACCTGACAATGCAGGGGACTTGGGTTCGAGCCCTGGTCCGGGAAGATCCCACATGCCGCGGAGCAGCTAAGCCCATGCTCCACAACTACTGAGCCTGTGCTCTAGAGCCCGTGAGCCACAGCTACTGAGCCCGCGTGCCACAACCACTGAAGCCTGTGCGCCTAGAGCCCGTGCTTCGCAACAAGAGAAGCCACTGCAATGAGAAGCCCGTGCACTGCAATGAAGAGTAGCCCCTGCTCACCGCAACTAGGCCCCGGGTACCAGCAACGAAGGCCCAACGCAGCCAAAAATAAATAAATAAATAAACTTATAAGAAAAAACATCTCTCTCTATAGTACATATTATCATTTAAAAATTGTCATCATAGCATATAACAGTTTTGTATTCTACTTTTTTCACTTATATCTTGCTTGTCTTTCAGGTCATTAAACATATTTCAAGTTGATAATTTTTTTCTTTTTTTTTTTCGGTACGCGGGCCTCTCACTGTTGTGGCCTCTCCCGTTGCGGAGCACAGGCTCCGGATGCGCAGGCCCAGCGGCCATGGCTCCCGGGTCAAGCCGCTCCGCGGCATGGGGGATCTTCCCGGAGCCGCTCCGCGGCATGTGGGATATTCCCGGACTGGGGCATGAACCCGTGTCCCCTGCATCAGGAGGCGGGCTCTCAACCACTGTGCCACCAGTTGATAATTTTAATGTCTGCATAATATTTTATTGTATGAATGTATCAGATTTTACTTAACGTTTCCATATTATTAGACATTTTTATTGTTTCCAAGGTTTTTTTCTTATTATAAATAAAGTTGCATTAAATTCCTGGGGAGACAGTTTGTATAAAATTAGAATTATTGAGTCAAAAGTTTTGAACCTGTTTAAGGCTGTTGGTACATATCTCAAGTTGTTTTTCATAAAGGTTGTACCAATTTACATATCCATCAGTAGTTTATGAAGGTCTCCTTTTCCTTGGAGTTTCACCCATCTGATAGGCAAGAGAAGGCCTCTCTTTAATTTGGATTACTTCAATTATCAATGAGGTTTCATACATCCTTATATGTTTCTTAACCATTTTCATTTCCTGTTTGTTAATTTCCTTTGTTCATTTTTATATCGAGGTGTTAGTGAGGTTTCCAAAAGTTTGTTTTGTCTTCTAATTTGATTGGATCTTTAAAAAATAAAGATACTGGAACTTCCAGGTTAGTGAACGCGTGGAGATGTGGGGAGAATTGTGTACCTGGAGAGGGCATGGAAGTTCCGTGCTCTTTCTCGCGTACCTTGCCCTGTGCGTCTCTTCCATCTGGCTGTTCCTGAGTTGAGTGTCCACTCGTCATCAAACCCAGCAGAAAAGTATGCAGGTCTGTTTCTTCGGGCCTTCATTTCCTGTGGAGGCTCCCGTGTCACATAAGACTTACATTACGTAAATCTGTAAGCTATTCTCCTGTTTAAAAAATATATAAAATAAAATAGAGATATTAATCTCTTATATTTGTGAAAAGCATTTTTCTGTTTTTAGTATGCCTTTTAATTTTATATAATATTTCTAATCTATAGGAGATTTTAAATTTTATGTAATCAAATATGTTAGGTTTCTCTTGGGAAGTCTTTCTTTGCTCTGTGATTCACCTGTTTTGTTCTAATATTTTTATTTAATTTTTATTTATTTATTTACTTTTGTAATTTCACTGTTTAATCTGTTTGTAGTTTATTCTGGTCAGGGTTGTGAAATGAGGACTAAACATTTTTGTCTTCGAATAGGAAACCGGTTATCCAAGATCATTTATTGAATCCTTTCTGATTTGTGATGTCTTCTTCATAAAAAAACTACATTGACACATGTAATAAAGTCAAAAATAAAATCAAATAAATCAAATAAAATCAAATAAAATCAAATAAACATTTGATTTTATTTGATTCTCAAAGTCAAAACAAAACAAATCACACATTTCAAAATTTCATTTTAAAAAATAAGCCACATTTACATGGTTCATTTACAAATGAGCAAAGGACAAAAAAATTTACAATGTCTCGTTTTTACTCCTAATTCCCAGCTACCCAGTAACCCTTCCCTGAGGCAACCAAGGTCACCAGTTTCCTTTGTATAGTATATTTTTTCCTCTTTTGTTGCACAAATCATAACATGCTATACACTTTTTTGTATTGTGCTTCCCTCTTTAGAATAAGTTTATCTTATAGATAATTTCGTATCTGACCATGAAGAGCTTCCTCAATATTTTTATGACTATAGAGTATTCCATAAATGGATGTTTCACAATTTAGTTAACCAATAGCTCTTGACTTCATTCTATATCAAATAAAGAATTTAATGGGCATTTACTTCTATCAACTTCCCTCATCCACATTCTCCAGTTTTAATAAATACAGTTTGGAATTTGCGACTCCTACTATCTCTATATTTTGTTTTTGTATTATATCTTCTTTTCTAGGAATTATAATCGTTGTTTTACGTTTTCATCCAGTTTCAAATTATATTTTTATATCTGCAATAAGTAGTTAGACTTTCTTTACTCTTGATCTCTTAAGTCTGAGTCATCTCCTAGTCAGCTGGGAAATGGCTTCACTATTTTTTTTTTCATTCCTAGAAGGATGGGTATGTGGTATATTTTCTGAGCCCTCCCATTTTTAGGTGAGCTTTTTGTTGTGTTTACTTATGAACAATCCTTGGCTAGATATTAAATTCTTACTTCTTTTCCCTCTTAAACAACTGTAAATGTTTTCATTACCATATCTTACTTAGTATTTCAGAGGAGAAATCTGATATCATTTAAAAAAAATTCTTTGAAAGTAGTCTTATTTTTCTGCCTACAGGCTCATAGAATTTAAAAAATTTATTTATGTAATTCAGAACTTTCTAGAATTGAGCTGGTTGTGGGTACCTTGGTTTTTAATCAACTTAATTACAGTATAATTTATGTATAATGAAATGCACACAGTTCGTCTTGTTCAATGGTGTTTGACAAAAAAAATGCATCTATGTAATTAATCAGCACCCCTATGAAGATGTAGAACATTTCTGTTACCCTAGAAATTCCCTTGTGCCTTTGCCATCCCTCCTTAAGTGAGTCTTCCCTAACCCCACTCCAGTCAACCGCTGATCTGATTTCCATATCTATAGATTAGTTTTACCTCTCCTAAACATTCATATAAATGGCATCATTCGTGTGTACTCTTTTGTGTCTGGCTTCTTTTGCTCAGCATGAGGCGTACCCATATTGTTGTGGATATCAATAGTTTATTCTTTTATAAAAAGTTGATGAATAGTAATCCATTATGTGAGTAAACTGGTTTGTTTATCCACTCATCTGTTGATGGACATTTGAATTTTGAGGGGGCATTACAAAAAATATTCTGTGAACATTCATGTGTAAGCCTTTTTGTGGACAAAGGTTTTAATTTCACTTGGGTAAATACCTAAGAGTGGAATTGCTGGGTCAGAGAAGTTAACTTTGTATCTGGCAAACTATTTCCAAAGTGATTCAATCATTTTATATTCCACCAGCAATGTATGAGAGTCCAGTAGCTGTGCATCCTTGCAAACACTTGATGTTGTCACTCCTTTTAATTTTAGCCCTCCAACTGGGGTGAAATACTATCTTGTGGTTTTAATTTGCATTTCTCTGATAACTAATGATGGTGAGCAACTTTCATGCCCTTATTGTAC